ATCTACTTCTGCTTCATTGACTATGCAAAAGCCTTTGACTGTGTGGACCACAGCAAAATACGGCAAGTCCTTAAAGAAATGGGAGTGCCTCACCACCTTATCTATCTCCTGAGAAACCTATATGTGGGACAGGAAGCAACAGTTAGAACTGGATATGGAACAACTGATTGGATCAAAATTGGGAAACGAGTATGACATGGCTGTATATTGTCCCCCGGCTTATTTAGCTTATATGCAGAATATATCATGCGGAAGGCTGGACTGGAGGAATCCCAAGCCGGAATTAAGATTGCCAGAAGAAATATCAACAACCTCCGATATGCAGATGATACCACTCTGATGGCAGAAAGTGAGGAGGAATTAAAGAACCTTGTAGAGTGGTCTTAACCCTCCAGATAGGCGGGATATAAATAAAATAAATAAATAAAATAAATAAATGAAAGAGGAGAGTGCAAAAAATGGCCTGAAACTCAACATCAAAAAAACTAAGATCATGGCCACTGGTCCCATCACCTCCTGGCAAATAGCTGTCTATGTAGAGCTGTTTTTGAAGATGGTTCAGAACCTTCAGTTGGTTCAAAATGCTGCTGCCTGGAGCCGGTGACAGGAATCATATTGATTCCCTTGTTACTATAACATGGACTGGCTGCTAGTCCATGTCCAAAACCAGTTCAAAGTGCTGTTTCTAACCTATGTGGCTTGTGTCCGGGCTATTTGGAAGGACCATATCTCCCCCTACAATCCTCTCCGGTCTCTGAGATCTTCAGGGCAGGGCCTTCTCCATGTCCTGCCACCATTTAGGGACAACTCAAATGAAGTCATTTTTGGTGGCTGCTGTTAGCCTATGGAATTCCATCCCACATGAGGCCAGGTTGGCCCCCTTCTTACAGTCCTTCTGCCAGCAGGAGAAAACCTTCCTTTTTAAACTGATTTTTAATATGTGAATTTCCTAGAGTTATTAATAGGGAATTTAACATATTTTAGCATGTTGTCTCTTTTAATTGTTTTAAAATAGTGGTTTTAAAATATTAATTAGGTGTAATTGTATTTATTATTAATATCTTAATTGATTATTATTTTAAATATATACATTTTTGAGCTATTTGCTGGCTTGAGCCACGTCATTGGGAGACATGTAACTAAATGAATAGATCTCTTATATTTAAATTATAAGGTTGGAATGTGTATAGTATCAAAGTAATGCTGAAGTCTGATGAAACTGAATAACCTAATATGTACATAAAACTCCTTTCAGAGGATAGTTTGGATCTCCACATCAAGGAGAAGCTTCCATATATGTCTCACAGTGTCTGATTTAAAAAAATACCAAACACACCCAAGGTTTAACACACTTCTGGATTGGATCTCACCATGTAGGTTCACTTGTGCTGACAGGGCTCAGCACCCAATGAGCTGTAATCGGTGAGAGCATGGGCCATGGTGCAATTCAGCCTGAGGGCACACTTTGTTATAGTCTGGCAGACAGAGGCTCCTGGCCTCTTCTGTAGAAACTCAGCTTGTTGCATGGAAGAGGCCCTGAGCTAAAAAAAAATCAAAAGGAAAGAAGAGGCAGGAATTTATCCAGGAAACATTAAACTCAGAACGTCTAATGTGAGCTGGCAAGAGATTGGATTAAGGGAAGTTTCACTTACTAAATGGAAACAGATCGGAGCATGTATACAAACAAGAACTGCAATAAGCCCCAGTTGTTGCAGAGCAGAACTACACAACAGCAGAACACAGAAGCTCCACATTTCAAATTCTTTTCTTCCCAATCTTAATGCATAATTTTATATACCTGATGCCCAAAACTCATTATACTGAGCATTTCCCCACTCCTATGAGCCTCCAATATCTTTCCATGTGACCTACTACACAGGGCTGCTGTGAAGATAAAATGCCATACATACTGCCTTGAATACACTGGAAGAAAGGGAGCATATACATACAGTACATGTGAAATAAATAAATGAATAAGATGCATACGCTCACTGCACCCATATATTACTTGTTTCGGCATGCAACCAAATGAACTACTCCAGCTCTTTGTAAAGAGCCAATACAGTGAAATAGCTATAAAGTATTGTAGTAGAATGGAGTGAGCAAATACAGGCCTCCAGATGCTGCTGGACAGGAACTCCTAGCATTTCTCGCCACTGGGCTCTGATGGCTAAGGCAGACAAAAGACACAATACAATAACATCTGGGGGATCCTCATACTGATGTTAGACCCTGCCCCACCCCCACAGCCCAAGTCCCTACTCAACCATGAAGATGACTGCGTGATTTTAGTTTAGTGGTCCTAAACCAGCCTCCCAGGGTTGTTACACAGATGAAAAGGCCTTGAGATTCCACCAAAGGCAAGATGGAATTTCATTGCAATAAACATAAACAAATGCTGGTTATCGTCGGCATGTTTTTCTGCTTCTGATTAAACCTGTCACATCTTTTATGCTTCAAAAGGAAGAACGTGAGTGTGATGGTTAATGCTAGCATCCTGGAAAAACAAATCTGACCATTTGGACCTCTCTCTGTGACTGGAAAGATTCTGGGGTGTTTCTGGCATTTACGAGGCAGGGCTGGGGCTAACCTCTCCCAAAAGCACACAAAAGACATTCAAATTTTGTATTTATATTTCCAGAATATTCTGAGCTTCATATATTTTTTTCCTGCTTAAAATAAAATAGTTCAACTGAATGATTCAGGTTTTCAAATTATTTGGCACTGCATTTTAATTTTTTCCTTAAAGACCAGAGAATTTATAGTATTGTGATTTTTTTAAAACAATCCAAGCAGATGATTTTATTTTGCTTTTTCAACCAACAGAAAGGAGGGTCAAGAGAGGAAGAAGGAAAGAGTATGTTTCATCCCTTCAGACTGTTAGGGATGGTTGATGGAGACAAGTAGCCATGATCACTTAGAGGCAATATAATCATTAGTTGAGAAAGCTACAAATAAGAAAAACTAGACAGCTTTTATTGGAGTTGCTAACACTGTGGAAAGCTGGATGTGGTCAAACAGGAGATGGCAAGAATAAACATTGACATCCTGGGCATCAGTGAACTAAAATGGACGGGAATGGGTGGATTCAATTCAGATGACTATCATATCTACTATTGTGGGCAAGAATCCCATAGAAGGAATGGAGTAGCCGTCAAAGTCAACAAATGAGTAGGAAAAGCTGTACTGGGATACAATATCAAAAATGACAGAATGATTTCAATATGAATCCAAGGCAGACCTTTCAACATCACAGTAATCCAAGTTTATGCACCAACCACAGATGCTGAAGAGGCTGAAATTGGCCAATTCTATGAAGACTTACAACACCTTCTAGAACTGACACCAAAGAAAGAGGTTCTTCTCATTTGAGGGGATTGGAATGCCAAAGTAGGGAGTCAAGAGATAAAAGGAACAGGTAAGTTTGGCCTTGGAGTTCAAAACGAAGCAGGGCAAAGGCTAATGGAGTTTTGTCAAGAGAACGAGCTGGTCATCACAAACACTCTTTTCCAACAACACAAGAGGCGACTCTACACATGGACATCACCAGATGGGCAAAACCGAAATCAGATTGATTATATTCTCTGCAGCCAAAGATGGAGAAGCTCTATAGAGTCAGCAAAAACAAGACCTGGAGCTGATTGTGGCTCTGATCATCAACTTCTTATAGCAAAACTCAAGCTTAAACAGAAGAAAGTAAGAAAAACCACTGGGCTAGTCAGGTATAATCTAAAAGAAATCCCTTATGAATATACAGTGGAAGTGAAGAACAGATTGAAGGAACTAGATTTGGTGGACGGAGTGCCTGAAGAACTATGGCTGGTGGCTCGTGACATATTGCACAGGAGGCAGCAACAAAAACCATAGGGATAAGACAGGGAACAAGATAGGGAAAGTTACAGAAAATTGAATGCTGGTTCCAAAAGAAGAGCAAGGAGAGAGAAGAGGGACTTCTTAAATGAACAATGCAAAGAAATAGAGGAAAATAATAGAAAAGGAAAAACCAGAGAACTGTTCAGGAAAATTGGAGATATGAAAGGAACCTTTTGTGCAAAGATGGATATGATAAAGGACAAAAATGGGAGGGACCTAACAGAAGCAGAAGACATCAAGAAGAGGTGGCAAGAATACACAGAGAAGTTATGCCATAAAGATTTGGATATCCCGGACAACCCAGATAGTGTGGTTGCATATCTTGAGCCAGACATCCTGGAGAGTGAAGTCAAGT